TCTCTCTCTCTCTCTCTCTCTCTCTCTCTCTCTCTCTCTCTCTCTCTAATAATTTCGTCTAATTTCATTTGATTGAATCATAAACATTCTTCAACTGAAAATTGAAGTTCCATTAAATAAAATTCAAGAGAGAAAAACTCGCGTAATTGATCGAAAATGATTTGTATGTGATTTGATGAATCAGAGTAAATTTTGTGTGGTACACTACATTGGAATTAAGTGATCAATGCGATCAATAAACAAGTCAGTATGGAACTGATAAATTTCAAATAGAAGAAATTATTTATTCGATGATTAGGTAGCATTCTGTGAATCGTTCTTCTCCAAACATCGAAAAACATACATGTGATTTTGATCATATGATTTGTGAATAACAAATATTTACGTCCTTTGTGCCTGCCGAGTCTGACGGCATTTTTCATGCTCGCCTATTTTCATTTATGCGCTTTTTTTCTCGTCTTATTAACCAGAAATGTGAAATTTTCCATGATTATAGTGCAGCTAGTTTTCTTTTCTTCGTTTCGAGTGTTTTCGACAGAAAAACATATTGCTTTTTTCTCGCCCGTGCATTTTTTCGATTTCATAAGACCAAGTCAATTAATATGACTGGCCAACGTAATCAAAAACAAAAACAAAACGTTAATTTTTTTCATATATATTTTTTTTTTTATTCGGTGGAAAGCCTCACACGAACACAAGAAAACACACATATTTCTGGGAGATTGGAATTTTTGATGAGCACTCGCGATAGAAGATTATTTCGAAAAAATGCGCTTGCATATTCACGTCAAGCACAAAGCCATAAATTGATTAGATATGGTGTAACCATATTATTTCGAAAACGAGCCTATATGCATTCTTTGTTGGTTCATCGACGTTGACTTGAACGAATCACTTGTACTTAAACACACGCCATATGTGCGCAACGGCGAATTCACAATTCACATACTGAAATAAAAGCTATCAGCTGTACTAATTAGATTCGTTTCTAATTGAATTAAATTCATATTTTGGCTGTGTGGTTACCAAATCGCCTCATTTTCAGCGATAAAATATAGCTTGTTAAGTGCCATGATTTGTTTGCCGATGGTGTATGTGTCATTGAATGTGGAATCGAGGAACTGTTGAACGACAACAATATGCTCACAAATTCTCCGTCTCTGAATACTAGTATATTGTTTTAAACGGATATATTTAAAGCCGTTTGGAGTGTGCATGGCTTTTTTTGCATTTGAAACACATTTCTCAGAATTATGTTTTATTTACGGAGTCTCTCATATTGAGACAAAGTCCGATTATTGTTTTGCTTTTTTTTATAAAAAAATGAAGTAAATCGTTTTGTAGCCGTATAATTTCAAGTAATCTCCACTTGGGCTTTGAACACAGTTCGTGTAATTTTTTTATTTGCATCGTTATTGCTTGATGTGTGCGCGCGCACGCCAGAGAAAGAGTGAAAACAAAACGAAACAAAAATACACTAATCACTCTTTCGTCAAATGATATTTCTTCATTTAAAGTCGGGTGTAACTGATGCTGTTGCTGTTGCTGCCGCACTTTTATGGGGAATACATTTCATTCATATATATTTTTTTCTGATTTCCGTGACGCAAAGAATATTTCTAGATGTTGTTGATGTTTTTGTTGCAAAAAGGCCATACGATATGAGTGCGAGTTCGATCTTGCCGTTTTGTTCTTGCTGTTTTGTTAGCAAATATCTTTGCAATGCGGCACATTTGTTTGTATTTCTACCAGAAACAATCGTTGTGATTGATCACGGTTGCTCTAGCGCAAAACGATTTTCTCAACATTCCATTGCCATGTTTTTTATATATCTAATTTGTTACGTCGGTTCAATTGTTGTTATTATTTTTATTTATTCCCTATCTATCTCCAGTTCCTGCGTTTAAGGTTGAATCTGACTTAAAATGTCACGCATTTGTGTGTCTAGTTTTCGTTCAGTGTGTCTGTATCAAAAGTTTAAAATGCATAAGCAATATTCATTTGAATATTAAAAGGTTCTCTATCTGTCTAAATACACTTCAAAACAGTACCGCGCACATTGTGCGCGGCACTAGACATAAAATGTCAATGTGCGTGGACTGTAGAGCCAAGGTTGTCCGGGTGCTTCGATCGAAAAAGAATTTCAAATCGCAACCAGCGATCTGCAATTTTTCAGCTTTTTTGCTGTCGTTTGTTCGATCGTTCGTATTCAATACGATTGCGGTTCCTCT